TGGCCACAGGTGGCCACGAGCACCAGACCGACGCCCTGTGGGACACGCCCGGCTGTCCCGTCCTGGGACAGACACCGCAACGGCAGCAAGGCCAGTGCCACCGCTGGCAGGGTTCTCTCCGCCGGTGCCCACAGAGCCACGGGACTGCGCCACCGCGGCAGGGTCCAGTCGCTCTTCCATCTTCAGTCTCGCATCTGCCTCCTCCAGGCAGCCCTCCTTGCTTCTTCCCTAACCCTAATCCGCGGGCACTCGCTTCGAAGCGTTTTGTCTCCTTGGCAAGTGGGGGGTGCCCGGTGCCTTCCCTGCGGTGACTCCCCGACGGTAAAGAGGACTCCGGTGGATTCCGGAGCTCTCCCTTCCTGCCCTCGAGCAAGGGTAATGACCATGACCCTGGCCATTTTAAAATACCGAGCTAGGTGCTTTGTATTCAATGGTCTCCTTTATCTCGACCACATCTGTGCGAGGTGGCCACTGTTACAAATGGGGAAACTGAGGCTGAGCTGCCTTTTATACCTCCCCCAACCCTTCCGATCAGCCGGCTTCTGACTTCACTCACCGGCAGGGGCCCGAGTGGCCCAAGGCTGCTGTTCCCACCCAGAGGTGGGGACGCTGGGTGCAGAGATGGGAGGGGCCGGCCCGAGGTCATCGAGCCATCGGCGGTGGCAGGGGGGCTCCTGCCACTAACCCTGTCTGCAGCCAGCTTGGCTGACTCGCTAACAGCAGGCGAGGGTGACACCCAGGCGTCTCGCCGACTCCCCAGAAACATCCTCGCCCCCCGCCCCCCCATCCCTCCCAGCCAAGCCCCTGCGGCCAAGAGGCTCTGGCAGCCTCCCTAACGATAGCCCCAGCCCCTGACGACAGCCCCCGGCCCCTGATGACAGCCCCGGCCCCTGACGACAGCCCCAGCCCCTAATGACAGCCCCGGCCCCTGACGACAGCCCCGGCCCCTAACGACAGCCCAGGCCCCTGACGACAGCCCCGGCCCCTAATGACAGCCCAGGCCCCTGACGACAGCCCCAGACAGCCCCGGCCCCTGACGACAGCCCCAGCCCCTAATGACAGCCCCGGCCCCTGACGACAGCCCCGGCCCCTAACGACAGCCCAGGCCCCTGACGACAGCCCCGGCCCCTAATGACAGCCCAGGCCCCTGACGACAGCCCCAGACCTAGACCCTGACGACAGCCCTGGCCCCTGACGACAGCCCCGGCCCCTGACGACAGCCCCGGCCCCTGACGACAGCCCCAGCCCCTAATGACAGCCCCGGCCCCTGACGACAGCCCCGGCCCCTAACGACAGCCCAGGCCCCTGACGACAGCCCCGGCCCCTAATGACAGCCCAGGCCCCTGACGACAGCCCCAGACCTAGACCCCAGCCCCAGACCTAGACCCTGACGACAGCCCCGGCCCCTGACGACAGCCCCGGCCCCTGACGACAGCCCCAGACCTAGACCCTGACGACAGCCCCAGCCCCGCCCGGCAGGACAGTATGCAGTAGATGGGGAGCCATAAAGCCGCTTTAAGAGGGCAATAAAAGTGTTGGGTTTCGGATCGTCTTACTGGAGAGGAGAATAACAGACAGGAAACCTCAGCAGCAGACGCGACAAAGGCCACAGCGTGCAGACTGCCCTCAGACGAAAACACCCCGGCCTGTGCAAACAGGAGTCCCGGCGCTCCCGGCCGTGCCAGCCTCGCTCCGGCGGGGGCGGGGCGGCGGCTACAATAGACTGTTTTGTCTACGCCGCTGTCAGTGTTTATAGAGCCCGTCCGTGGCGGTGCTGCCGAGGTGCGCCACGCCCCCCCCCTGCACTCCCGCCGCGGGTGCCAGGAGGGGTGTCGGTGTCCCTGGGTGCTGCCTCTGCCCCTCAGAAGCCAGGCCAGGCCCGGGGGCTCTTGCTGGGCCTCTGCCCGCCTGCTCCCCCGGTTTGAAGCTGGGAGGACGGCACCGTCCGGCCCCCTGTGTCCTGGCAGCGAGGCCACAGCCAGAGCTGGACCCCACAGCCCTCTGCACGTGTGTGTGTGTCCCTCGGCTTAACCCAGGGCTTCCCAAACCCGGTGTGCGCGGGTCCGCCCCGCGCTGCGGACAAGGTGTGGCACACTGCGTCAGGTTTGGGTTTCAGATAAACGACGAATCATTTCTTGGTGCGAGAGTGTCCCAGCGCTGCATGGGACGTGCTCACGCCGCGTGGCCAACCGCCGTGCATCTGAGGTTCAGATGCCACCGGGCATCCTGTCTTTCGTCCGTCTGCAACCCTCCCCACCTGGCCTTTACGTTGAAACTAGGCGAAATTAACTGACACTTAAGGATTCGGTTTCTGGGCCGCACCAGCCCCGTCTCAGGTGCCAGGCGCCAGGCGCGGGGGGACAGGCCGCCCGGGGCATCTGCCCCGTTGAAGGGAGTTCCCGGGGACGGCCCCGCCCTGGGCCGGCAGGACGCCTGGAGCTCCTCGGCCCGCACTCCCGGAGGAGATCTGGGCACGCCAGCTTCCCGGGCCCCCAGCAGGGCTGGGCGGGAGAGGGGTTTCTCTCCGTGGCCCAGGGAGGGCTGGATGGTGGGGGAGGCCCCTCTGGCTTCCGGTTTCCAGGGACAGGAAGACCCCGGGCTCGCAGCACTGGGATGGGGGTGCTGTGTCCGAGGGGCACGGCCGTTCTTTCCTGTTACCCTTGAGGGGGCCAGGTGGCCGTCCTGGGTGTCCAGGGAGCTGGGTGGCCCCCCTCCCGGGCACTGGCCTCCTCGCCCTGGTCAGAGCCCCCTGGACGTCGAAGTGGAGGAAGGCACTGCCGGGGTGACTGGCAAGACTCTGGCCTGGTCACAGACTCAGCAGCCACCGTCCAAAGCTGCCCGGCGTCCTTGGCTGTTCAGATGAGCTGTGGCCTCATCCGAATAGTGGGCTCAGGACTGTGCCCGGGGGTCCCCGGGGGTCTCGTGGGGGCCGACCCAGCTCTGGACTGGGGAGGCTGGGCCCGGAGCCCGAGAGGCCAGGCGGCCCGCAGCGGGCAGGGCTGAGGGCTGGAGTGCGCCTCCTAATTGTCCGTGACTTACAGACTTGGCGGGGCTCCCAGACGGCCTCCATAAATCAGCGCCGCCGCCGCAGGGAAGAGCCGCTAGTGTGGCCCTTACGCGCTTGGCAGGGCCCCGTCCTCCTCCCTGCCCGGGAGCACCCTGCCGCCTCCAAGTTTCCGTGTGCTGCCACGGAGCGGGCGGGGCCGGGCTGCGTGCTGCTGGGGGGCGGGGCAGCCGGGAGGGCGTGGGAGGCGGGAGGTGACCCGAGGCCGCCACCGTGCATGTACCAGCTCCTGCGGGGGTGCCCCCGCCACCCTACCTGCGGGGTCCCAAGTCCACCCTGCCCTGTTGCCTGGGGTGGAGACTGACACAGTCTGCACGGCCGGGGGGGTGGGGGTGGGGCGCTCGTGCCAGGACAGCCCGTCCTTTCCCGGTGTGTGTGTACGTGCATGTGTGCATGACACGTGTGTGGTGTGTGTGCACGTGTGTGCGTGTCCCCCAGGCAGACTGGAAGTCAACAGGAGCAGTGCCACACTCCCGCTGTGTCCGGGCACGGCAGTTGGGTGGGAGGATGGGGACAGGCAGGACAGGCCACTGCTCCCCGTGGGGTGCCGTGGAGCCCTGGCTGTGGAGCTGAGGATCCCTCATCTGGGAGGCGGGGGTGACGTCCTGTCCTGGCCCCCGAGCTCAGCGAGGACCCCGAGAGCCAGGAGGGGAGGGCGTCAACAGAAAGGGCCAGCAGCGGGCGGCTCTGCCCTCCGTGCCCACCCTCTGCCACCAGGGGCGGGGGACGAGGGTCGAGGAAGGGGCAGGCCAGGGCCCCCGGGACACGGGGACTCGGCGCGGCCAGGCCAAGGAGCCGGAGCAGACAGTGTCCCCGCCCCAGGTGTGCAGCCGGCCCTCCCCAGCCCCCAGGGCGTGCGGGAGTTGACTTCAGGACAGCCCCCTCCCCCTCGCGGAGGGGGCCTGGGTGGCACCGTCTGGAAACACAAACAGGCCCTGGACAGGTGTAGGTAACTTCCTGCCCGGCAGCCGGGCCTGCTGGGGAGGTGGGCTGGGTGGCGGGAGGCGCAGGTTGTGAGGTGATGTCTGGGAGCCCGTCCCGCCACCCCCGGGCCGGCGCAGGCAGGAGCCCGGAGTCCGGGCCCTGCTCAGGGTCACGGCACCCAACGCCCCTTTCCACGCGGGGGGCTGGGAGCCAGCGTGCAGGCCAAGGACGGGGACGGGGGCTCGGCCTCCCGCTCGGGCCGCGGCGGCGGGCTCAGCCTGGCGCCTCCCGGCTCTGGCCTTGCGCACGCCGCCCGCCCGCTGGTCTGCAGGACGGGCCCGCCACCAGGCCGGTCTCGCTGCAGGAATCAGGACGCATATATACAGAGTGTCTGGCACACAGCGCGGTCAGTGAATCAAGGCACTTCTTACTGGGTGTTGTCACAGAGGCGGCTCCGCTCAGGAGCCGGCTGGATGAGGGGTCAGGGCCGGGCCGGGGGCAGAGCTGGCTCCATGGGCCCCGGCTTCCTCAGTGGGGTGCGTTCTGAGCCCAGGGACACAGGACACAGGGGTGACACAGGACACAGGGGTGACACAGGACACAGGGGTGACACAGGACACAGGAGTGATACCAGCGTCCAGGAGAAAGTAGATGCCAGGGGCGGGCACATGGGCGGCCCCTGTTCGAGGCGGGCACTGGGTCTCCAGCTGGCAGGAGGAGGTGGCAGACGCCGGGCCGGGGCGCCCAGGACACGCCTGTGGGTCACGGCAGGGCCGGAGGAGAGAGCTCCTCTCCCCGGCGTGGTGCTGGGCGCCAGCGAGGCCGAGCACGCGGGACTCTCAGAGCCGCTCGGCACGGTGTGGTGGCTGCGTCATGCATCCCTGGGGGCGTCCTGGGATGCCGCAGAGACCGCGTCCGAGGGGCGCTCGGGGCGGGGCAGGATGGGAGGAACCCAGGGGGGGCCTGACTCTCGCTGGGGTGGGGGTGGGGGCGGGGCGGGCGTGGGTGCGAGGTCAGACGCAGGCGCAGCACAGGGTGGAGCAGTCCAGCTTGGCCGGGGCCCCCGAGGTTCCCGCTTTCTTGTTGACCTTGGGCAGCAGCAGGACAAAGGACATGGCCAGGGCGCAGTGGTAGAAGCTGTGGACGTAGGTGTAGTCCCAGTCCTGCGGGGGCAGGGAGTCGGTCCGGGGAGTCGGTCCGGGGCCTCGGCCCCCCAGCCAAGCCCGGAGCCCCTGCAGGAAGCAGGGGTCCCACCCAGCTCACAGAGACCTCCCCTCCCTCCCCCTGCTCCTTCCCTCCCTCCCCCTCCCCCTCCTACCCCCTCCATCCTCTTTCCCTCCCTCCCTCTGCCCCCTCCTGCCCCCACCATCCTCTTCCCCTCCCTCCCTCTGCCCCCTCCATCCTCTTCCCCTCCCTCCCTCTGCCCCCTCCTTCCCCCTCCATCTTCTTCCCCTCCCTCCCTCTGCTCCCCTCTGCCCCCTCCATCCTCTTCCCCTCCCTCCCTCTGCCCCCTCCATCCTCTTCCCCTCCCTCCCTCTGCCCCCTCCATCCTCTTCCCTTCCCTCCCTCTGCTCCCTTCTGCCCCTCCATCTTCTTCCCCTCCCTCCCTCTGCCCCCTCCATCCTCTTCCCTTCCCTCCCTCTGCCCCCTCCATCCTCTTCCCTTCTCTTCCCCTGCCTCCCTCTGCCCCCTCCATCCTCTTCCCCTCCCTCCCTCTCTTCCCCTCACCCCCGCCTTCTCACCCCCCAGATGCCCAGGACTCCCCTGGGGCTGGTGAGGCCTCTGAGCCGCCAGCTCCCCTAGGCAGGTCAGCTCTGGTCTCTGCGACCCCCAGGCCCACACAGGCTGATGCCTCTGCCTGACACCCCCCCCCACCCCGGAGCGGGGCCACGCCAGGCTGGCTGGGTGGACGGGGCGCTGCACCACGGGCTCGGTACCTCGAAGAAGAAGCGGAGCATGAGGGCCAGGGCGCCGAAGCAGAGGCCGGGGCCCAGCTGCTGGGTGTAGACGCTCGTGTCGGGGTACAGGCCCTTCTTCTCCCTCATCTTCTGCAGCTGCGGGGGGGGGGGGCACAGCGGGGCTCAGGCCTGGGCGCGCCGGGGCTGGCCGTCTGTAGGCGGAGACGCCCGCAGACCGCAGGCTGGGCCCTCAGCGGCCGACGTGCCCCGTGGGGACCTCCTGTCCCCTCCCACTCTGCGGCCTGTGACGGGCCACCTGCGTGCTGGCACCTCCCGCCGGAGAGGAGCACGGGGACCAGACGTGGTGGCTGTCCCCAGTGGAATGGCACTGGTGTGCTCGGCAACTGCCAGCCGGGTGGCCCACGGCGGCCGCACTTGCGGTGGCCAGCGGGACAAGGTGGCACGTGAGCATCGTTTGCTTTACTAGTTAAAGGACCTGTCTTTACATTTATCGGACGGACGCAGCCAGTTCCCAGACGCCGATTTCTCAGACGCCGAGGCTGGGGCGAGGCCCAGGCGGGGAGTTGGGCCTAGAAGGACAGGCTAGCGCGCAGAGGAGGCTGAGCAGGCGCAGGTCGCCCTCCCGGGACACGGGCCCCGGGACAGAAGTGTTTCGGGGCTCAGGACGTTCGGATTTCAGCAGAAACCGTCCCACGCAGCGTGAGGCGTCAGCCCAGCGTGGGGCGGCGCCCCGACTGCCTGCAACACCACTCGGGGGACACGGAGACCACCCAGGCCACGTGCGGCCGAATCGTGAGAGGGTGCCCCGTGTTTGGTGTTCTGGACTTGCTCTGCAACGGCCTGGGGCAGCCAGGCGGTGTGACCCTGGGTGCAGGTGACCGAGACCCAGAGCCCCCATCTGCCACCCCTCAGTGGCAGCGCTGGGGCGGAGAGGGGGTGCCGCCCAGTCACGCAAGGGGCCTGCCCCGCCCGAGGGCACCGCCACCCAGCTCTCGTCCCTTGTCACTTCCTCCCCCGAGGGTGGCAGCTCCCGAACCCCTCCCAAGAAGAGAGGAGCCACCGGGAGAGAAATCCACCCTCGTTCCAGGAAACAACTGCCCTTGCACATCCAAAATAAACTCCACATTAAATGAGCTAGAAAACACAATTTGAGCCCAGAGATGCAGGCCGGCGGGCGGCCTGTCTCCCGTTCCCGGGGCCAGATGCTCAGCTCCAGGCCTTGGAGGTCTCCTGGCCCTTTGTGGGGCGCTAACAGGTGCACCGTGTCCAGCTGATTAAACCCCGAGGAGGAGGAGCAGCCTCGGTGGAGCCAGAAGGGAGGGGGTGTCTGGAACCCCAACCCTTGGGGTCCCACAGGCGCATTGCTGGTCCTCCCTGGGAGACGTCACACCTAGCACATTCCCTCTCCCTTCCCGGGGCAGCCCAGGGGTCCCCTGCCTGCCCAGGTTGGAGAGAGGGGCTCCTCCGTGTCACCTGCTCAGAAAGTCAAGGCCTGGCCTGGCCCCGGCCCTGCCCTGGCTGCTTGTGAAGTCGCTAATCTCTCCGTTTCTTCCTTAACCAAAGGGTGAAAACAATCCCGTCCTCCTTGGCTGGAGGGTGGACTGGGGCAGGTTTGGGAAGCCTGCCACCAGAGCTTTCTCTCCGTCTCCCGAGCGGTGAAGCAGGTTGGTGGCCGCTTCTGCACGGCCCGCCCCGCCTGATCCCTCTTGCTGGGACCGGCCCTCCGGCTGGCTGGTTGGCTGGTGTCCGAGGCCTGGCCGGCCATGCCTGGCTGGAGGGGCAGTGTGGCTTGGGCAGGACCAGGCCAGCTCTCCTCCCAGCACTCGGAGTGGGGACCCCAAGACCCCAGGTGGGGCCCCAAAGGGGTAAATGTGGCGGAGGGATGTGCACTTTGGGGAGAGCCAGCCCAGGCTGAAGCCCTCAGGTCTGCCCTGTCCCGGTCTGCCCTGCTGTGACGTCCTCTTTAGCTTGGGCTCGCTTGAGTGGGTTTCGGTCCATGCAGCGGGAGGGCCTTGGGGCAGCAGAGGCTGCAGGGAGCTCTGGGGACATGTGCAAAGGGCCTGTGGTGCAGCTCCCAGGTGCTCTGCAGGGGCTGTCATCTGTGGGGACTGTGGCTCAGGCTGCTCCGGCCTCACTCTGCCCCCGCTGCCCGCTCGGGCCCAGCCCAGGCTCACCCCCAGGACGCCTCCTCAGGGCTGCCCGGACGTTTCCCGGCCGACGGTGCATCTCTGACGCAGCCCTGGCCCCCGCGCAGAGTAACCACGGCGCCAGCGGCGAGGGGACCCTCAGAAGCCAGGCGTCTGGCGGGGCCTCAGCACGCGCACGATACGCACCCACTTGGCCGCGATGATGAGGACGGCCGTGCCGATGGGGCCCGAGTACACGCCGTAGCCCCGGCGGTCGTGGTAGACGCGCACGGCGATGGTCAGGACGCCCAGCATCACCAGCGTCGACCTCTTGGGCTCGTCGAAGTCGGCCAGGGCTGGGGGCGGGAGAGGCGGGTGAGTGGCTGCCCGGCCTCTGCTGCCAACAGGGCGCGGCCTCCAGGCCCCGGGCCAGCGCGCTCTGAGGGGCTCCAGTTCCCGCCAGTTTGGAAGCGAGGCCGGCCGCTTCCCACGCGGAGCAGCGGGTCGGCGCCCAGCGGCCTGTTCCCGCACACGGGTCCACACGCAGCTGAATCGCGGCCAGTCTGCCCCGCGGGCCACGGGGTGGGGGGGCCACGGGGAGGGGGGCATGGGGAGGGGGGCCACGGGGAGGGGCCACGGGGTGGGGGACCACGGGGAGGGGGGCCACGGGGTGCGGGGGCCACGGGAGGAGGGGCCACACGGGGCCACGGGAGGAGGGGAGAAGGGCCACGGCGGGCCACGGATGGGGGGCCAGGCCCGAGAGGCAAGGCCGCTGTGCCCGTTTGTGTGGGATCAT